ACAGCGACTAAGCCACTGCGCCACCACCACCCCGAGTGACAATGGTGGAGTGGAAACTGCGAGATGATGGTTTTACACCAGTGGAACAGCACCGCCTGTAACAGGCATTCGAAGGATGGAGAATGAGGAACCGGCGGTCATCTTCGGGTGTAGCATAATGCGCATGGAACAAGCATTCGCCGCCAGAAAATCGATTATCATCAGAATGTAGGTAGTTAAATTCTGGAACATAGCCAATCATCACATGCGTCATGATGTTAACTAACACTGTCACCCATATGGCCCACGAATCAACCTTACAGGAAGTCGCAGTTACTTGAGGGCAGCAAATCAGTATGAAAAGTGAGAAAAACTGACGAAAGGTACACAGTCTCGAGAAGGGTGTTGTGGTTCTACTGGGATGACACTGAGAACGAAGTGATTCGACTGAAAAGAATGACAAATGACGATCGACAACATGAGCATGAGGCATGTAGAATGCATAGATATACATTTATAATTATGTTCCAGATGTCATCTACAGTTGGCTGGTTGTCACAGAGACAAACAAGAACAAATGTGTCAGGAAAACGTCATACTCCGTTGGATTGAATTGAAGAAGACAAATATGTGTAGCGAACATTTTTGAGTTTACACGTAAAGATGGACGCACAACTAACTGCGAGATATTGAAGGGCAGATAGAGCTGACATTGCGAATCAAAAACCCTTCTGCTTCAATCGATAGTAGGAAGCCTAAAATAAGGCGACGGAAATCCTATCTAAATAAAGAAAGAAAAAACGTTTGTAACAACGACTGTTGAACAAGATGCTATCAAACTATTTTCTTAACGTCCTCGAAGGTACTTTAGTTGAGAGTAGATGTACTGATAAACGGGATTCATCGTCCCATGCACCACACGAAACTTTTTATCACACACATTTAGTGTGATCAATAGCAGATGGGATGAATCCCTTAGTAGCGAAGACTTGCTGTTCAGTAATGAAAACCGGCAAACTAGGCCCCGAGAATCCGAATGGTGAACCACACAAGGTCGCGCAAGGTTAGGAGTGGTATGGGAATGACCAGTGAAAACTTCCGTTTCGTTTAGAGCAGAAAAACCTAATGCACCTCCCTTCGGTGATGAGTACTTTACCGAAGTGAGCGGGCGGGTAGACAGTCTGTAAACGAATTGATGAGCCACCAGCAGCTAAATCCTTTTAAGGAACTGGGAAACTGCTTTTAAACTACCCAAGAAGAAAAGTTAAAATTGCATCAACAACTCTTAGGTATATCTAAGCAGCAAATCAATTCGGCGGGGATTGTATAGGATACTGGGAATAGCAGCCCGTTTCTAAAGAGGATGAACGGGATGATGATTCACAATAAATTGGTTTTATGGGTAATGAAAGCCCAGAAAAAATGGCCCCAAGTAAACCCGATACCCCGGCTTGGACGACCGAGCAGTTCAACAGCTGATAACTCCATCAACAACATAGATACGAACCCAAAGTTTCAATCAATATCCAGTTTTATCTGTATCAGTTTCTGTATTATTATTATGCTTCAGATGAGTACTTACAGGAAAATCAATGATAGAAAATGTATGCCCATAGATAAACAGTCACACACGACAGCAGGACAATCCGGTGAAGCAACAGATACAAATTACAATGGCCGATCGATGATAACCGAAAGTTCATTGTACCAATACAATATCGATCAAACTTAGCGTTCACTGAACAATTTCCGTTAAAGAGGAAGAAAAGGAAGCGAATCAGATCGGTCTGGAAAAAAAACAGATTGATATCCTGGTTTCCTTCCAGGCCATTAACCGATCACCTCATATCCATATTGTGTATGAGGCAACTATGAAATGATTAAACATACCTGTAAGGCAGACGGCTCAGCGTTGGTCGATTCGATACGATCGAGCGCAGTGCTCGCTTGCCTGTAATAAACATAAGAATTAGTATTATATGGCATCATTAGTGCGCTCACAATTTCGTCGAAATAAAACTGACAAGCGTCACGCAGAACAGAAATCTCAAAAACAGTAGTTTACTCGAATGAAACTGTAGAACACTAATATGCGGATGTTGAATATGGTTTCTGAGCTGACGTTTTAAATGCAATTCGGTAGGTAAACCGGGCGAATAGAAAGTGGGAAATAGATGCACAGATATTATACATCTGCTGATATCTCTCTCTCTCACTCTGGGCGTGTTTAGACGGGATAGAATAATTTTAATCGAGGTTTAGGCAGGATGACTTAAATCGTGTGACTGGACCGGATAGAACTAAAACAAGTTGATCGCACTGTACACGACGCCAACCAAAACGAAGGAATTTGATCATTGAATGTGAGAGGAAAAAAAAACTGTGCAGATATTTTATTGTGTCAACCGGTGGGAAATTTTCATTGATTTGTTTTTCTTGGCCATTTGCCGGTTTTTGTGTTGTGGCTAGATTAGCATAAAGTGTTGAAGGACCATGTGTATTGACAATTAACTTTTTACCGCGTTCAACTCATTGCCTTTGGTCAAAGTCAGGAACTTGCTTCAGCGCGGCCACGAGTGTATAGTAAGTTGATACATACCCAATACATAAAAAAATGCTGAGACAATTGGACCCACTACGAGTACGGACAAATTCCGAAAAAATACGTTCGAGGTGGTAGAAAAACGGACAAAATTAAGAGTTATGGAGGTGAATGCTTTGAAAAGTGCTTGAAGTTGATTTTAACTGGGAAAATGGAAGTACAGAAAAAAATGGAGTTAAGAGATTCATACGGGTCAGACGGCATTTTATGAGCCAACTTATCGTAAGAATTGGTGTGTTGGAAGACAATGTGATGGATCCGGGGCATATCCGTTAGTTTACATCACCGACACGCATAGCACTCCTTCGGGCTAATTAGCGAGCAGTCCAGACGAGTTAGTCGGGGCTAAAACTGCCGCGAACCCATTGTACGTCAAGTTATACACCTACCGCCGAAAATCCCCAGGAGGAAAATTAATCCGGCATGTAGTATTGCAGTGTCCAATTTCACCATCAAGATGAAATAAAATGAACCCAACTACTGAACGATAACTCGTGTTTTAGGAGAATACGGAACGCAACAGAAAACCGAGAACAGCAGTCGGTAAATAATTTTTGGATGACATGATGTAAAAGTTTAAAACGATAACTCAAACAATATTGCATGTGGAGCTTTTAAGAAATGCGTGTGAAACAGGTAAAGTTAAATAATTGATGTTAATAATAAAAGAACAGAGAAATACATGAACAGTAGGACAGAGAAATAGGGTAAGCTCAGCTGGAAGATATAAGTTATCGCTTTTTGTGGTAGGAATGGAGAATGTGATCTGATTATTCGATTAATTCGTTGCGTAAATGAGGTGAGTTGAAAAACTAGGAAGCACTGAACAGCTGTTTCGACCTGGTTGGGTTTCATCAGCAGTGCGAATCCACTTACCCCACTTGGAATAGAACACGGGACCTCACAGGTGGTGATCAAGCACACTACCCACTCGACCACCGGGCAGCTGATCCGACCGTTTATCTTTTTGAATAAACACGATACTATCTTTGAGAGCTTATCGTAGGCATCAAACCTCGATTATCTCAGCATTCAGTTGCTCGATGGCCGAGCGGGTAGTATGCTTGTGTTCTATCTGTGAGGTCCCGGGTTCGATCCCCAATTGAGTCGATTGATTCGCACCAATGATGAAACCTAAACAGATTGAAACTGCTTCCTAGTTTTTCAGCTTACGCCTCATTTACATAACTAATTCATCACATTATCGCTTTTCTACCATACACTTCAGTGACGAATAGTAAGACATGATGCTCACCGAGATCGAAAACATATTTTACGACAACGATAATCTACGCCCTGGGATTTGCAGTGGCGAAACTCATAGAGCCCCGTGTTCAGCCACACGACGCAAAGCCAGGAAGCCACCGCAGACAGTGCAAAACGGATGTTTCCAGGATTTGAAGTTTGTATGACGATTGTGTAAAGTTAAGTAGCCTCCGTGGGATTCGAACCCACGCACGGTCGCCGCCTACGGTTTGTACGCGCACGCTCTACCAGCAGGTAGCGATTGCACCAATTCTTTCCATTATTCTCATCCCAGTTCACCGTTGAACTGATATGGAGGGGGGAGGGTCATTCTTCTGCCGGTTGTGCCTGATTGGATGACTACAAAACCTCTCCTTTGTCATCAGTTGATCGTTTAGTTTAAACCATCGATCAGACGTGATTCAAATAAATGCGTCTGATCCCAAAGTAGTTTGCAGAACGCCAATGGTGTGTTTTGACTGCCCTTAGTAGCTGGCTTTCAGTGAGCGAAGATCGAATTTATCTTTGTTGAGCTTCATCAAATCGATGAAAGCGAATGACATCATTGGAATGACAAGACCTCGTTTCTGATCAGGTTTTCCCAGTCTGTCCAACACCACGTTTCGGGTAGCTCTATAGAACACATTATATTTGTCGTTCCTTATAGGTTGGCTTCGAAATAAGTCTTTCATAATCACGCGGTTAGTGGTCGGTCCAAATTGTATAAAAAAGACTAATCGAAATCGGCACATCAGAGATGCGAGGTTCAAGAACGTAACAGCTGGCTGAGGCAAAGAACTTACTTTGAGTTGTGAGATAACAAAAATGAGAGATCACTGACCGCGGGATTTTAACCCCGACACCTCAAATTAGGTGTGCACCAGTAACAGTGAGTCGAACTATGGAGCCGTCAAAATCCATTAGTTAGTGTGAATACTTTTTGGGGATTTTTATTTTGTTTGTGAAAAAAGCGAAACTATTAAGCAGAACAACCGTGTTGTCGACCATAGTGGCCATACTGAGGTCAACATCCATTTAACCTATCATTCATTCTATCGATCTCCCAATAAGGCTTACAGAGACTACAAAGAAGAACATGGTCAGATCTATTGCTTGAATAACCTTAAAATTGCAATATTTAGTGATCAGCCGATGTGTCATAGAAAAATGTCAGAAGCATGCGACAGACATTCCATCAGTGGCACAGATGAGTCCCTTGACAGTCACACACACACACACGTTATGAGCAATTCTGACAGGATTGACCAGTATGCGCACAAACGAAAAACATGTGGCTGAAAGCAAATTAGTTAAACAGCATCGTAGATCGATGCACCAGACGTCAAACTCATGTACTTGAGAACATCTGATTGGATGCACAGGCTGTCAGTGGATGTGCATTAGCCATGAGCTCCAACACGAGTAAAACTCAAGTCTGTAGTGTTCAAGGATTGCATGGTTGACCGAACGAACTGCGGATGAAGTGCGTGAAACTAACTCTGAAAGATGATTAGTCAAAATGAAAGGTATGTTATGCAAATACGAGANATCGGTGGATAGTGGACTATAAGAAGAATGTGGACTTTAAATCTAGTGGTTCTGTTTTTTTCTGTTCAAGTCACTGTTTGTTTCTCTCCGTCACAGACACACGGTTCTTGTGGATCTGAAAGTGGTGATAAAAAACATAACACACACACACACATACACCATTACACATCCCCAAAATTAACCTATGATACACTTATTCATTTTATAAGTATTCGACCACAATAGATTGTTCGAAATGATATACAAAGTCAAAAACCTTAATCCAAACAGGAGGTGACTCGTTATTGGTTTGAAACTCGTATATATGGCCAGAACCACATTGGTGGCATCTGTCACACCGGTAATCACATGGCAGATGATCCGCATTGGACCAGGATAATCGCAGTCTATGAAACTCAAAGAGTGACAAACAGCTTCACATTTGTGGATCACATTCGACTGACTGGGTGAACGGGGTCCAGCGTCCGATTCCGTAACAGTACAGCGACGAATCTCACCTGCAAAAAATGAATGAACAGGTTTCCCCTTTTCTAGTAGGCCACTTTGAGTGTCATAATGACCAGTGGGGGGGAATATATAAGTGAGAAAAACCGTGCGGAACAGATTGGAAATCGTTCAATAGTTCGACGGTGAATTGTTGAATAAGATTTTCTTTCAGTAGGTACACCAGTTACAATGAAACAGAGAGAATGGGGGGAGAGGCAGAAAAATTGACGGACACTGATAAAATGCCAAGATCAGTTATGAAAACCATTGGTTAGAATTGGAGTTCGAAAATCAAATAGTCGAACACGCTGTCACAAAAAAGGCACACAACACTTACCAGGGGATAAAATTGATTTAGTAAATGTGATTTTTTAGGGTTCAGACTTAATACGGTGAGATAAATAATTTCAGGACAAACAGGCCAAAGTCAAACACCTATGGATTAACTAGTATTACCCAAAAAGGGCAATTTCGCTGACGAAACGAGAATCACAACACCCATTTTTCAGCGAAAACATTTAGATGGCTGAACGAAACGAAGAATAAAGCTTGTTGAATCACTGACTAGAACAGAGCGCGCACACACACACATGGTGAAAGATCAACGCGGAGACGTCAACAACAACAACAAAGATATCAAGTTCCACAAACACACACGTTCTGCAATCAAAGAGGTAATCACGACCAGATTTGACACTAATCTCTCTATTCGCTCAGGGGAGCTTAAGGGATTGTTGAATACATGGTACGATACGTGATACAGTGTGCCCAACTGTGATAAACAGAACCAAGACCACAAGGAGCTGAGGTTTGTTTCAGTCTACACAATCATTAACTATGCACCCTCGTACGGTAGTTTTGGTTGCTGTCTTTTGGCTACCCAATCGGATGGAGGAATAGAGGGAATGGGATGAGGTTTAAGGACTGTGGGCCACAAATTCGTAGCCGAGATCGATAATCACCTGAACGCTATACTGCACACCAGTGCATCCCGGTCTTCTCTTTCCATCTTACTCGGTCAGCGTTCATCGGCACCTGAACTAAACAAAGCTCGAGGATTTGAGTACTTGTAATATAAAAATGGCCGGGAGTAGTTTGTATTCGGTCTGGGTGCGTGGAATGCGAATCCGGCGTAAAGTGACCGGCGAAAGAGTAGCCGTAAGCTGATGAACTATCTCCAATGTTGATGCAGTCTGCACGACCGAGGAAAACGACGTCGTGTATTCGCAATGACCAAGATTACAACTTAGGTCACCTCCTCTGTCACACACACACACACATTGACGCACGTCTGTGAAAGGTACCGGAATTCATTTTCCAAGGTCGTGCGCTTGTGTGTGTGAGAGAGAGAGCAAGAACACAGATGCACACAGAATGGCAAGTGTCGGTTGTGAACCAGCGAGATTCGTGTGGACGCCAACGTGATGACGCGGTCAACGTAAACAATTCGCACGACCAACCAACAGAATAGAACGCGTCGCGCGCGGTGGGTGAGTGTAGGTGGAGGTATACGGAGGTTATTACAGACACTGATTATTAAGGTCGATCGATCAATACCGATAGGGAGAGTATTTTGCGTCGTGATAAACAACATCAATACTGCAGTAGAATAACAGGAAAGGTCGATGGTGTAATAGTCATGATAGTTGAAACTGACACGTGAAAGGGAAAATACTGCGATCAAGGGTATGCAGAAAATTAGACAACCGGCTAACGTGCTTGCGATGATAGTGATAATAATAATGTAGAACATTACATATGAGTGTGGAATGACACTTAGGCACTTTGATTTGGTCGTTGAGAAAACCAGTGTGTAAGGATACTACTCACCAGGAAGACAGTCGATTTTGAGCGGAGGATACCTCCAGGTCACTCAAATATTCGTAATCATGATCTGCATGGAATAAAAAACATAAACTTTCATGTTCGAGCAAGCGACCCGATGGAGAAATGGGAAAACGAAATAAGAAACAAAAACAACATAAACGAAAAACCGCGGTTCGCCGGCATTCGTGCACGAGGGTAACAAAAGTGCAAGTGTAATTTCTGATGGTCAATCCAATCCCAAATGAACGGACACAGAAAAGTTCAAATATGGAAAACGTTACTTCATCTTCTCTCTCTCTCATTCTCGCAACATACAATAACATATATTACCAGACATCTCTTTTGGAGAAATAAACAGCTGGACGCAGCAAACACGAATTTACCGCTTCGAGCTTCACATCTGTGTGATCCCGACAAATGCCTAGGCATTGTGTAAAAGCAGTATTCAGCATACGGAGGTGCCTGACCGCAGTTACAGAAGGAA